ACACACACACACACACACACACACACACACACACACACACACACACATCAGTAACAACAATAGATACACTTAAAAATGAAGAAGAAACACACAGAGCTGTACTTTGGATTCTGAATGTTCCCAAAAACTCAGTGTGAAATGCGCGGTGCTGGAACATTTGTTGGAAGTTAAGCCACAGTGGGGGGCGAGGGGGGAGGTGTTCTTCAAGGGGAGGCTTAGACCCCTAGCAGACACTTGTTCCTCGGCTTCCTGGCCAGCGTTAAGTTGGGCAGTTTCCTCCACAGGCCCTTGCCATGATGTGCTGTTTCACCAACACAGAGTGCACTGAAAGTAGTGGGCCAAGGACACCAAGGACTAAAGTGCCCGAGACTGAGCCAAACAGTGTCCTCTCTTCCTTCTCTCCACTTTCCATCACTCTTTCTCCTCCTCTCTCCTCTGTCTTTGTGTGTGTGTGTGTGTGCGGGTGAGTTTGTGTCTTCCTCAGCTGCTCCCCATCTTGCTCTTTGAGGCAGGGACTCAGTTTACCCAGAACTCACAGATTTGGATGGACTGATTGGCCACCTAGCCTCAGGGGCCAAGGCGGAGACCCATTTGTCTCTGCTCTCCCATTGCTGAAACTGCAAGCACAATGCAACGTGCCAGGCCTTTCTCCATGGATTCTGGGGACCAAAGCCTGGTCATTGCACATGATAAGCACATTACCAACTAAGCTATTACTCCAACCCAACTTTTCTAAGTGCATTTATCTCAAATATGTGTTATAACAATGAAGAGCAACCCACACGCACAGGTCTGCGCACATGTATACACACACACACACCCCATAGCGTGATGACAGAAAAACATCAAAACAACAACAACAAAGAAAATCCTGAGGAAAGAAAGAAAAGCAGTGCACTGTGGGTTATGATTTCTCAGAAAACATGGAAATCCCATGATAACGGCATAACTAGTAACTGGCAACAAAAATCACTCTTTTTTCCCCCACTCAGAATCCTTTCAAGTTACTGTTTTTACTCTGGGTGCAAGGAGGGCATTTCTTGAATGAACTGCCCAATGTTCTTCCTTGGATTTTGATATCACCCATTTTGATATCATCTATTTCTTAACTGGGTCTGGTGGCTAAGGTTGTAACCTCAGCTACTTAGGAAGCTGAGGCAGGAGAATCACAAAGTCAACGCCTGCCTGGAATGCAGAGCGAGTTCAAGGCTAGCCCAGGAAGCTTAGCAAGACACCAGCTCAAAAATAAAGAGTGGAAAAGTCGGTGGGGGCTGAGGATGTTGGCGGTAGGGAATGCTGAGCTCCTGTGGCAGGTGTGGCCTCGGATCAATTCCCGGTGCCACAGACAAAACAAAACAGACCCGTCCATTTCCTTTCAGAACCCAGAAAATGCTTAAGTGGAAAAAAAAAAAAAACGAAATGATTAAAAGTACCGCTGCCAAATAATTGCTGGCATTGCTTTGCTCCACTCTGACACGTGCCGTTGATGCAGAGCCACTTGTTGTCCCCACACGGATGCCCGTTCTGAATGAAGAAGTCCTCCTCGCACACTGCGGACGTGCCGTTGCAGTACTCGGGGACATCACACTCGTCGCTGGTAGGTCTGCAGTCCTCCCCTTTGTTCTTGAACTGACGGGTGAGGCGGGCCACAGAGAGCGAGGCAGCAGAGGAGGAGACATTGTGTAGGTCATATGGAAATAAAGGCTCTTACCGACACACACACACACACATACACACACACACACACACACACCCCGGGGTGGGCAGGTACTCTCACAAGGCTCCACCCCAGATGAAGAGCTACAGGCAATCAGTGACTGTTGGGAGAGGGAGAATGAGTCTTCCCCAGGGGCAAGCCACGGCACTCATCATCCAACCCCAAGCCGTCGGCTCTACACACGCATAGGCAACAGCGAACGAACTCAGTGCGTTACATATGTAAATATGTATGTAACAAAAAATAAATAAAAAGAAGCCATGGATTTAAGAAAAAAGAGTGAAAGGGTTGTGGGAAGAGTTGGAGGGGGGAGGGGGAAATGATGTAAATATATCGCACATATAAAAAATTGATACATCATAATAATAATACACTATTAAGTTAAAACATGTGCTGCTTGCAGTACAGGTTTAATTATATATGTCACATAATAGGAGCAATATTTCCATTTCAGCCATTTCATATAACCCATACTTTCTTGTTTTAGTTTTTAAGGAATGAATATTTCAAATATTATAGAAATGCTATATAAAATTAATTTTATAATTGAAAGACTTGTCAACAATAATCTTGACATTTCAGTGGAAAATTTATACAAACAGAATAAAATGTTTAAAATTATTTTTCTTAAGAATAGAAATGTCAGCTGGGTGTGGCGGCACATGCCTGTGATCCCAGCACTCAGGGAGGCAGAGGCGGGCTGATCTACAAAGTGAGTCCTGGACAGCCAGGGCTACACAGAGAAACCCTGTACACCAAAAATGAAAAGAAAAAAAAAAGAATAGAAATGCCTGAAGACCTTCATGGGGTCCCTCCACTCGTAGCTCACGAAGTCCTGTGGAAGTGGGGTGTGGGGAGATTGCAGAAGCCAGAGGGGTTGAGGATACCAGGAGGACACCAGGAAAACACAGCCCACGGAATCAACTGAACAGCGCTCATAGGCCCAGAGACTGAAGCAGCATGGACTGTGCAAGGGTGTGTACTAGGTCCTCTATGTCTGTGTTAGCTTGGTGTTTGGGTTTGTTTGGGACTCCTGCCAGTGGGAATGGGGGAGGTGACTCCGACTCTTTTGCCTGCTCATGGGACCCTTTTCCTCCTGCTTGGTTGCCTCACCCAGCCTTTTGATATGAGGGTTTGTATTTGGTTGATATCCCTGGAAGGCCTGGTCTTTTCTGAAGGGAAATAGAGAAGGAATGGATCTGGGGGGGGGGGGGCTTATGTGTGAGGGCAGGGAGGGGGCAGGGCTGGGAGGAGTGGAAACTGCAGTTGGGATGTATTATATGAAAGGAGAATTTTTAAAAAATGGTAAATTTGGAAAAAGGAATTATAAGTTAATTTTGAAAAGGACCATATAGTAATAACTGTGATATAAAGATAAATCACCCACAAATGCAAAAAAAAAAAAATAGAAATGTCAATATTCTTTAAAAGAAAAAGCTTGAGTCTGAAGAGATGGCTCAGTGGTTGTGGTTAAGAGCACTGGCTGTTTGTCCAGAGAACCCAAGTTTAGTTCCCCGCACCCACATGGCACCTGCCAACCGTCTGTAACTCTGGTCTTAAGGGATCTGACAGTCTCTTCTGGTCTCTGTGGGCACTGGACATGCACATGGTACTCAGACAAAACACCCATACACATAAAAATAATTAAGAAAAGAAAATCTTTTAAAAAAGTGGGAAAAAAAATTAAAAAAGAAAGAAAAGGCTCTTACTTTACAGTCCTGACAGCATGGCCCCGAAGCACAGTCGGAACCGACGGACAGCCCACAGGTGGTAGGGTTACAGCATGGGTCCTGTTCACAGCCCTGAAAGGCAGACCACACGCCTGAAGTGTCTTTCTGAATCCATGCACACTGCATCGACATTTTAATGGCCACACATTACATAGCCTACAGACGGGCACTTGCCTTTCATGCTGGCAAACAGGGAAAGAAACAGAGTCACTTCTTTTCCAGCTACAGACATTGATCTACTCCTAAACGTTACCTCCTAGTTTCTATTCCTAGGACAGAGCTTGCTGGGTCAGGATTAGACTCCTCTGATACCATAGTATCCGTCGCAGTGGAGACACTGAGGTGGTCCCTGGTAGACAAAAGCTAAATAAATATAGGATGTGGGATAAAGAGAAGCTACAGTTGGAATTTATGAGACACTTTTGAGCCTCAATAATATAACTCTCAATAATAGTTTATGGGCATTTTAAAGATTTTTTTTTCTTAAAAATTCTTACTCTGTGTGTGTGAGAGTGCATGCGTGTGTGCATGGAACACATGACTGTAGGTGCCCACTGGGGTCAGAAGAGGGCAGCAGATCCCCAGATCTGAAATTACAGATGGTTGTGAGACACCGTGTGGGTGCTGGGAACTGAACTCAAGTCCTCTGAAGAACGGCAGACACTCTTAACTGCCGAGCCCTCTCTCCAACCCCATCACTTTTTCTTTTGAGACTTGGTCTCATTAGTCCATGCTGGTCTCAAAGGCATTCCGCCAAAGCTGGCCACGAATACCTGATTTTTTCTGCTTCCATCCCTGCTCCTAGTGTAGTTGGGCTGCAGGCATAATACTGCCACATTTAGCAGTTTACATCATTTTTAATTTTGTAATGAAGGGCTGGAAGATGTAGCAGGATTTGAACGTGACTGAGGTTGCTGCTTTGGCATCACTAGTAAAAGAGTGTGATCTGCTTTACTAGCTTTAACTATTAGGGTTAATAAAACTGGAACCTACATTTACACACACATACATACATACGTATTTTGAAAATATTTTTTTCTTATTTTTATTTCATGTGCATTGGTTATTTGCCTCAATGTACATCAGTGTGGATGTGTCAGGTCCCCTGGAACTGGAGTTGCAGTTTTGATCTGGGAATTGTGTGTGCTGGGAATTGAACCCAAGTCCTCTTGAAGGGCAGCCAGTGCTCTTAACCTCTGAGCCATCTCTCTAGCCTCTTACACACATTTTTAATCCCAAGAGATTTCAAATGGTAAGTTGGGAAAACATTCTGTAAGCAGACCAGACTTAGCTGTGAAGGTCAGTTTTCTTAGTGTGATTTCCAGCAAGACTCTCATTAGAGCACAGGAAGGTTTCTGTGTTTTACACAACTGTTCTGCTCAGTGAACATCACAGCTGTTGCTCACCACATGGGCTTCTACAGGGAAGGGATATTGCAGCAGTTAGAACTCAATTCCATAGCATGTGATGAAGCTAAAACACACTGTTGTCAACTTTGAGTGGGAAGTTTCAGCGTGTTTCCATTCAAGCCAAAGCAAGCAAAACCTCTAGGGTGACAGACAGCAATTTCTTAAAAACACAACTATTAATTTCTGGTCGTTTTAATTGTCAGCTTGCTACAATCTAGAATCAGCTGGAGAAGAGTCTCAGTGAGGGACTGTCTAAATCAGGCTGGCCTGGGGGCATGTCTGTAGAGGAATGTCTCGGTTACATCAGTGGCCGGGAGGGCTTGCTCACTGTGGGCAGCACCATTCCCTAGGATTGGGTCCTGGGCTGCATGAGAGTAGAAGAGTTACTGAGCTTGTGGAAATATGCAGGCGCTGTTCTCTCTCTGCTGTCACCCATGGATGTGACTAGTTGCTTCAAGTTCTTGCAGCCTTGATTTCTCTGCGGTGAGGGACTACACCTGGGAGCTGGGAGCTAAACTATATACACTTGCTCTTCCAAACCACTTTGTCCGTGTAGATTATCAAAACAGCAGGAAAGGAAACCGGACACCATTTAAGTAATAGAAATGTACTTTTTCTGTTGTGAGGGGTACATGATCAGTGTCCTCAGCCATAGAGAATCCTGATGACCACTTGCTCCCTGGTTCCCCAGGGACACAGTACTCTCAGCAGTTATGATAACAGCTTGTTTCTACTTCATTTTATCCTGTTATCTCATTTACCTTCATCCTATCATCCCTCCTCCCTCCAACCCCCCAGTTTTACATAAGACTTACCTGGTTTGGGGAAAAAAAAAAACTCCCTATGGTTATAGGTATATTTCAAATAATTTTGACATAAATATTGAATTTAACTTGGCGATTAAATTGTTGGTAAAAGCCAATAAAGTTTCATTACCAAACTACAAATATGCCATCTGTATTTTCTTAGTCCATAGCAAGAACTTCACATCTGCCTCTCTGAATGGCAAATAACTCTATTCGAAAGGCTGGGCAAGAGTGTGCCTGAGAGGAAGAGAAGGAAGCTGGGAGAGGACTTAATAAATAACCTTCAAAATGGCTTGTTTGAAAAATTAGAATGGAAGGCACATAGAAGGGAAGGATGGACACAGGCATCCAGGGATGTTACATGCGGATAAGTGGCATGAATACGCTATGGAGGTCTAATGTTCAGGAGTGACTGCAGTACATTTTGTACATTTTTGGTTTGCTAAGAGGTTGTGTCCTAATCCTTACATAAGAGGGAGAAATGAGAGATTGCTTGGCATCAATAATTAGCACTCTACAAGAATTTAGGGATAAATGGTTTATGTCCGCTCACTCTAAGTTGCGTTTGTCAGGGCATTTTATCAAAGCAAAAGAAATGAAATTCAGACAATATCCTTGTAAGAGTTACTTAATGACATCAAGTTTAGTTCTTGCTTTCCAATATGGAGATAAAAAGATTGTTCATCTCGGACAGTTGCAAGAAAATATATCCATGCAAAGCACTTGCAAATCACTAAGGGATTGCATCCTAACTCTTAACAGGAGAGGAGGGCAAGGGAAGTAGAGGAGACTGGAGGAAAAGGACAGGAAAGAGGAGGGAGAGTGGAGAGGAGAGAGAGTAGGAGAGGAGGGGAGAGGAAGAGGAGAGAAGAGAAGGGGAGGGAGAGGAAGAAGAATAAGGAGAAGGAGAGGGCAGGAGGGAGAAGAGAAGGAGAGGACAGGAGTGAGAGGGGAGGAGGAAAGAGAAAAAGAGAAGGAAGAGGAGAAAGAGGAAAAAGAGGAGAGGCAGGAAGAAGATGGTGAGCCCATAAGTCAGAGATCATTGGCTTAAGTTTGCAAACCCAGCACTCAAGAAGCTGGAACCAAAGATTCGTTTTGAGTTTGAGGCCAGCATGGGCTACACAGAGAGGTTCTTTGCTAGGAAAAAAAAGAAAAGAAAAGAAAAGAAAAGAAAAGAAAAGAAAAGAAAAGAAAAGAAAAGAAAGCACGCTGATGATGTGAGTGGACAGGCTTAGTTGTGGTGGCTTTCTTATGGCATGCATGCATCGATCATCAAGTCGTCAGCTTGCAAATGCTCACTGTGTGCCATTTCTTTAAGATGGAATAAAAAGCAAGTGTATTTGTATGGACAATCCACCAATCAGTAATATGCCAAGACATTAGTTCACCCTTGAGTCTGTCAGTGTGCTCCTTGCAAAGGCCCTTGCAGAAGGGTGACTATGAGAAATGAAGCAAATGGACAGAGGGATGAGGTAGGTGTTAATACTTGGGAGGTTCTGGCCACATCCTCCTGAATCAGCACTGACCTTGTCTCCTCCACAGTCGCAAACTTCATCTTCTTCCAACTTTCCATTCCCACAGACGGGCGCCTTGTAAGATGGCTGTAGCTTTGGCTGGTTCTGAAGACAATGGGAGTTTGGACTTGAGATAAACTTAGAAAAATCCTCTATGCTGCAGTTACTGAAGGTCCTTACACCGCTGGAATGACTGAAAAGAGCCCAGATGTCAAGTGTTGGTGTTAAGAGTTCCCGTACACAATCAACCATTAGAATACAACGTTAGGCAGGAAGCAAATATTCCCGAGGGCTGTGTAGATCTTTGTCTGCACAGAGAGCCAACTGTCAAGGACTAAGTGGCACAGGCACGCTGGCATGAGTGGAGGACAGTGGTGAGCCTTGGGTTTATGTGGGGCCAGGCGGGGCAGGGATCCACTTTGACACACTCCTTGGCTATAACACTGAGGAAGTAGGTGCTGTCATACCGCACACTCATAGACCAGCATCAAGTGTGGGGAAGGATCCTGTAGAGTTATTCAGTCCTAGCACAAAACACACTTGGCACTAGGAGTTACTGAGTTTCAGCCTTACGAGATTCAGCCAACCATGGATCAAAAGACCTGGGGAGAACTTGTATGTGCTCAGGGAGAACAGGCGGGTTTCCTTGGCCCTGCCTCCTGAACACATCACAACAGGGCCGTACGCGTACATCCGCTAGAGGAGAAGTGAAGTACACAGAAGGATGTGCATGATTACATGCATCTCTGAAGGACCTGCACGGCTGAGGATTTCAGGACCCTCACCTCCATGAGCGCTGCCTTCGATTAACTGATTCGGGAAGACAGCTTAATTGTGGACAGGGCCAGTCCCTGGGCCAGGGGCTCCTGGCCTGTGTGAAATGGAGAGTCTATCTGAGCACCGACACAAGCCTCGCCTCCTTCCCCTCTGCTCTTGACTGTGGATGCTCAGCTGTCTGGAGCTCTGGCTCCTGTCACTCCCCTACCACGACAGATGGCTGCCTGAAGTGTGAGCCTGAAAAAAAAAAAAAACCCTTCTCCTGTAAGTTGCTTTGGTCAGAGTGTTTTATCACAGCAACAGAAGCACCAGTGGGACAGTGTTCTTGTAAGAGCTCATAGCAACTTCAGCTCCTTCTTTCTAACACAGAGACAAAGGCACAGTATGTCTCCTAGAGCTGAGAAGAGGATTCACTCAAAGCACCGAAAACTCAGGAAAAGGACAGATGTCCCAACTTCGAGTTGACCAGGACAAAATGTCCAAGTATCTTCTATAGCTCACCAACCCCAGGGCTGTAATGAAATACTTTTGGGTCCACCTGCAAATTACATTCAGAGCATGTTCTCCAGGACAGCTTCCCAGACTTCACTGTGTTTTAGGAGTTAAGCGGGGAGCCTAGCCGAGCAGGTGTTTCTGTCCTTGCCCTCAGTGCTTTGCTCGGAACGCCATCCATTTTGTCTGACCTCTTGTGTAGATGGCTTGTAGTTTCTCACCAGAGCAAAGCCTACTCGATCTCGGCCCGTGTCTCTCGAGTCACCTTCCTCTCCTCCCTCATGTTCATGCTGCTGGGCACCTTCCTTCTTGCCTCCCTGCCTAGCTTAGATCTAAGGCCAATTCCTCTGCCCAGGAAGCGTTTGCTCAATACACTCGGACAGTTCTCCCTCTTCCTAACTGTCCACCCCACAGGGATGGCTTCTCAGCACACACTGAAAACATTGCCCCTTCACGAGTCTTTAACCCCTTCACTGATGTGTCCTCTAAGGCACTTGTCAACCAGAGCACTCTTGATTTAGCTGGTTTCCTTCCAGCACAGCAGAGGAGGGTTATTTGTATGCTTAAAATTGAAGCAGTGATCCAGGCATGGTGTTACCTCTCTGTTATCCTAACCCTTGGGAAGCAGAGGCGGAGCTATTACACCAAGTTCAAGATCATCCTGGTCTACGTAGCAAATTCCAGGAAGGTAGCATAGACTCTGTCTCAAACTAATAATTAAATAATTAGATAAGCCAAAGGGAAAACCAGAATAGGACTATATGATGGAGGCCACCTGCTTAAATAATAGATTTTTTTTTTAGTCATTTTATTATGGTTTTCATTATTCTCAACCATAACGTCACATAGCACTGTTATGATCATAAGCTTACATGTTCCCATTGGTGGGCATGGCTAATATGAAGCTACTCAGGTGTGAGATAATGAGCATGATGGTCTCAAAGCCTCATGTATTATATTGCTGTGTGAAGATGTTACTGAGACAAGGCTGACCAACAGAGATTTTTGAACAAATTCCCATGGTTGCAATTGTGTGTGTGTGTGTGTGTGTGTGTGTGTGTGTGTGTGTTTATGTGTGGGCACAACCTAGTCGAACGTAGCTTTCGGTGATATTAACTACACATAAAAGGATTGATTATACATTTCCAACCACTGTCATGTGATTCCTATTCACGTATGCGTGTGGGCACGCATGGGTCACAGCATGCAAGCGGAGGTTAGAAGGCAACTTGCAGGGGTTGGGTCTGTTTGACCAAGTGGCTCCAGGAATTGAACTTGGGTCGTCAGGTATGGCAGCTGGTGCCATGACAACTGCGCCATCTCACCAGCATTGTTTATATCTAAGTTCCAGAGAACAAGTGGAGACAAAGCAATAGAGTTGGCAGGATAGCTCAGTGGTCAACGTCGCTTACTGCACAAGCCTGGCAGCCTGAGTTCAGTCCTAGAAACCCACATAAAGGTGGAAGGAGACAACTCAGACCTGTCCTTTGACCTCCACATACATGCTCTGGCATGTGCACCCCCTCCCATACATGATGTTCGAACACACACACACACACACACACACACACACACACACACACACACACA